CTATGGATTTTAAGTAGAAAGGCAAGATCGGTGTATTCTTCAGATTTTTTGAATAATTTTAGCGTATGTCCAGTAGATCTGTACAACGTTTATCAAGAATATTAGCAACGTTTTAGAAAACACGTTGCATATATTCACTTACTTATGTTATTAAATTAGTTATATGGCCCTCGTTCACTTCGATTCAATACATTTTCTTTATTATTTTAGCGGATCCATAAACAAAGCAGATAACATGAATCATTAAATCACAACTCATGAGTTGTTATTTAGTAATTGTGATCATCCTAAAGCATTTTTATTAACTACAGAAGTTATATTAATATGTTATAGGAGGATACGTATAATTCTGAAATATCTGATCCCAGTTAAATGTTTAATAGTTGAATCTTGAATGCAGTTCTTCAGCTACCCTCTGAATAGTACTAATATAAAAAGTTTGAATTAAGTAAACATGTTACTTACTTTTAATGTTCGTTTCATTCTTGTTAAAATTTTCGTTTGGAGTGAAATATTCATTGTTGACAGGCTAAACAATATGCAAATAATACATGACAACCACTAATAATTACTTATAATATATAAATCAGTAACGAGTTGCTCAACTTTCCTGGCAACGTTTTCAAATTTTAGTGGCGTGTGTTTAATAAAACGTTTTTAAAATGAAATATTATATTTTTTAACTATTATAGAAAACAAAGAACTGAATTTGAATGAATGAGTCCGACCCTAATGGAGATAATGAGGGTCGTGTTTATGTCCTTAATTTCTTGATTTTTAACCAGCAAAATTCAATAGCGTCAATTTCACTAATAATCAAACTTTCCAGCAAAATTTCAGAAATTTTCAACAAAAAAAACAGGAGTTATTAAGTGTCAAACAGGGTGAATAAATTCGTGCACCTCCACACTCTAACATCCATACAAAGAGATAAAACCCAAGATTATTTTGACATTTGAAGGAATTCTAAATTTAGAAATGTAAAAATCTTGGGGGTCAAAAAATGACTCCCCAAGCTTTTTACATTTCTAAATTTGACCGATCGTCACTACTTTCCCTTTGTTATACATAACAACCGAAAAAGTAATACGAAAATCTTATAAATTAAAAATGCATTTTTTGTGATTGTATATAAGCGACATATTAGAAAATTGTATTGAAATTAATTGTTTTGGAAATTTTGTAGAAATTATTTAGTCTTTTAAAGAAATTAACAAAATAACAAGCGAGACTCTACATGTTCCACCTTGTACATTGAGAAAACATATTACTAATGAAGTAGTAATGTTATTTGGATTTACTAATTATTTTTGACTTAAATTAGCATCGTGTCTTCTACCGTACGATTTAACAGTAGAAAAATTCCAATGCGTTTAGCCTGTTTTCACGCCATCATTTTCTTCAGGAAAATATATAAAAATTGTATACGCACTTTACATTACTTGCAAAAATATTTAATAATTAAAACATTTCTGCATTAAAATCGCTTGTTTCTTTACAGTGTTATTCATAAATGCTTACACAATCATTATTTTAATAATATACGTCGTAAATTCAACCCAAACCAGAGAAAAAGCAAACGTTTAAGCCGAACTCCTACTCGTCACGTTTCACGTTCCAAACGACATTTTCAAACTTGTAAAATTACAAGATAACGACGCTCGACGTTCACGTTTTAGCGATGAAAAATTTGGTCGCAACCTCTTTATTATTTATTTGTAATCAACTGCTTCTAAAAGTAGATAAAATTAAAAATTGCAGTGTTTATTAATTTGTTGTAATCTCTGTTTATGTAATTGCAGTATTTCATAGTATTGTAAAAATAAATAAATCTGGTATTTTGTGCTATCATCGTTGCAAATGGCAACAAAGTAAATTTTGCCTACGTTTCGTAAATCTTAGGTCCGCCTGTATGCCGGGCAACCTTTCTCAACATGTGGCCACATCCATTGTGAACCTGACCAATGAGTCTGAAATAAAAACTCATTGTTTATACTCTAATTTATCGTGCACTAAAAAGCAGGAGTACTCAAATTATTTGAGTACAAAATTGAGAAAGTTTGAAACAGTATAATTTATATATATAAACTTAAGTTGAAATTTGCTTCTTACTGTTAGGAATGTTTTGTATGCATAACAATATGAATATTGAAATATGGTGAATTTTCGCAAATCTTCAGATGTCGAGATTGTCTACACCCAAAACATATGGCAAACAATTAAGTGAATATCTGTGCTTGAACATGTATTTGCCACATAGTTAGCCTAATATTTCAGAATAAATTGAACATTAAGAAACTAAATTTAGTAGTGTTCATTGTCTACAAGGGACATTAATAATATAAAATTTTGGCAATAAAACTTCCACGAGTGAAGAGATAGAAGATGGTCACGTGTAAAATCTCGAGTGGGATCAGACTTCATTAAAATTGTATTTGTTGTTAGCATAGTTTGTGAAATGCATTTCTACCATTAAATTTAACTATTTCTTCATTTTATAATAATTAAAATTATAGAAAGTTTTTATAACACATGGCGCCAATGACAATTTTATTTATTTATTATAATGAATAATATAGATGTTATTTTTTAAATAAAATCTCTTAACAGCCAGAAAACTTTCACAATTCGTTACTAGATTTTTTCTTCTATAATACAATTTTTTTTATTTAATACAGAATACACCTAACATCAAAGCATAATATTCATTACTGATATTGACCTACATTTTCAACCATTCAGAAACCTATGTTAATATTAAAGTTTCACTGTAAAATATTTTGAAATTTCTATTACTTACCAATACGTTTTCATCATCATCTGGGAGATGAAAAACTTCTTTATAATCTTCAGTCTTTACTTCAATCTTCAATTTTTTAAAATCAAGTTTACATTCTGATTTTATACCATGTTTTACATCACAATTCTCTTTTATTTCTTCTTTCTTAATATCTGTAGTGAAATTTACAATCTCTTGTGTTAAAGTATTCTATTAAAAATTTGAAATATAAAATAAAACTGAACATATTTTCATTAAGATAACAATATTAACATACTTTATTATATTAACAATAATATTAACGTCTTTCACTACATGATTTATTTCTGATTGCAAGCCAAAAACTACCTTTGAATCACGGCGAATTGCTGTGATGTGAGATACAAATTATAATAAGTACGATTAAAAACTTGTTTTCGTTATTAAACAGACCAGCAACGAGTGCTTATCTTTTCCGGAAACATTTAATACTACGGCTGGCGCCATCTCTTATGTTATTTTGTTTTAAATATTTTTATATTTTTAACGATTATAAAATTAAAAATGCTTAATTTTGAGG